TGTCGAACAGAGGCAATTGCCTCCAAATCTTCTAGCCCCGGACGGCCCAATATGGCATTGTGGGCACATGCAATATCCACCACCACAAACGTCATCCGGACTGCCGCTCGGTGAGTTTCATCACCAATTTCCACCAGAAGCTGGATGGTGCCCTCTGCCTCTATTACATTGCCGGTGAAGCTAGCCAGCGGTGTCTTCAGCTTGGTCAGCTGGTCCTTCTTTAGCTTCATCTTCTCCAACGTGCGTAAATACAGCACGTTCACACTACTTCCCGTGTCCACCAGAACTCGGTGGATCAAGGCGTTGTCTATACACATACTCACCACTAGCTCGTCCCTGTGCGGACTTGGTGAGTTGGGTAAATCAGCCACCCCGAACATGATTGGCTCTAGGCGGCCCTTCTTTGTGGGAGGTGCAGCTACAGTGGCGACATAGAGGCTGCGCTCAAATTTCTTGCGTTCGGCGGCCGTATCCCCGGTCTCTCCCCCGCCAAAGATGACTTTCACCTCCAATCGTGGCTTTTTCCCTGGATTCCCAGACCCCTCAGCCTCCTCTATAGGGGGAAGGTATGAATCATTACTGGGTTCCGCATCCCGCTGGGCATCCCGCTTCCAGCTATTGGATCGGGGAGGGCGCTGATTGGGGCTGTTCAGGCTGGTGCTGACATACTTCCTCAGGTAGCCCTTTTGGATCAGGTCCTCAATTGCCACATGTAGGGCGTGGCAATCCTTCGTGAGGTGCCCGTTCCGTTGGTGGTATCTGCAGTAGGAGCTTGGGGTAGGTCCCATCACGGGCCTTGTGTCAGTAGGGGGAGGAATGGCGTTATGTTCCAAATGGAAAACACCAGCTATAGACATGACCAGGGGGGTGAAGCGCGTAGTCCTTCGATGAGGTGCTGCAGCCGCTGGTGTGGGTCCCAAACGTTCTGCCAGTCTTGAAGTGGGAGGTTGCGGGGCCGTTCGGTCCCTTATCCTGATCTCTTCTTCCAGGGCCGCATAGTTCCTGGCCCTTTCCAGGATGTCTGGGTAGCTGGTCCCCGGATTCCTCTTCAGCTCCCTGTACAAATCTCCCGTCTGAAGGGCATCGGTGAAAAGAAGGATGGCCGTCTCATCTGTCATGCCGGTCACCTTCAGGGTTTCGGTCCTCCACCTGGTGAGGAATCCGGAGATTGATTCTCTAGGCCCTTGCCTCACACTGGTTAGATACCCGAAATGTAATTTCGGGGTTGTCCTGGAGGCGAACTGAGCCAAGAACAAGGTGGATAGCTCCGCAAAGCTCCCGATCGACCCGGGTTGTAATGTTCCGAACCATTCCTGGGCTGGTCCCCGAAGGGTACTGAAGAACAGCCTGCATATTGCCGCGTCGGTGGCCCCCAATAGCATGAGGCCACCCTGGTAACTCCTCAGGTGTACGTGGGGATCTCCCACCCCATCGTATGCTAAGCCGGTCGAGGGACGGCAGTCCTTCAGGATTTCGGCGTTCATGATTTCCCTAGTAAAGGGAGAGGTGATCCCAACCCGTGCTGGCGGGGTTTGTTGGGGCGTCCGATTGACCTGCTCTCTGAGCTCAGTCATCTGTCTCCTCATTTCGGCCATTTCGTCGTCTTGGGCCGTTCGGGGAGTGTGTGGTATCCGAGCATCCACACATTCCGGTATTCTGTTCTGGGGAGGAGCAGCTATGTTAGCCCTCCTCCGGATGAAGCGTTCCCCATCCCTCTGGATATATTGGAAGTTTTGTCCAACGGGATCTATCATGGGGGTAGGTTCCCTGTATCCGTTTCGAGGGGCGGACGGGGTTCGGCTGGTTGGTGCTCCTCGTCTGGGGGTATGGGCCCTCCAGTGGTTCCTGCGGCGTTCCTCGGAATGAACTGAGGCCATCGTAGTCTCGATGTCCTCCTCTTCGTCAAAAGATGGCATGGGACGCAACGGGGATGGTGGCTCATGAGTTTCATCCGTGTAGCCCCGTTCCTGTTCGTCCGCCATGCGTTGCATGGCCTCCGCCATATCCCTCATCAACTGAGGGTTCATCCTTACATCCTGGGGGATGATTTGCTCGAACTCCCGGGTGGCACTGCCACTGGCGTGTCCTTGCCTGGACCACCCCTCAGAGGATCTATGGCCTCCTCGTCCTCTGGATGCAGAACTCGGTGTAGCGGTATGAAGCCTAGCCATTTCAAAAAATGGTGCTTAGATCAGCTGTTTTCCTTGAACTTTTAGTTTCGTTTCCCACAGACGGCGCCAATGTTGAGGTTTATTCCCGAAGATCCGAAAGCCCAACACAAGCCTTGGATATTGTAGGGATATTGGGTAGGGTTGATTGAAATGTGTGTAAAATATAAAATAGTGAAATGATATCCAACTCAAGAACTTACTTATATTTTGTAATTAAGCAATTACACTGAAACTACTCGAACGGTAGATGAATATGAGATTACAAGGATGGGAGATGCAAATCTATTGCTAAGCTCTGAGTATTAAAATGCTAACCCTTTACAATGATCTAAACATGGGTATTTATACTAAAATGGGGATGGGTAAGGTGGACACGTGGTCGAATCTGGTAGGCTATCACCTCTGCCATGTAAGCACCCATGCCCCCACTTGTTGCCGCCATGATCCAGCATTAAATGCGGCCTCCACTTGCTGATTTCCCGTTCGGTCAAGGTGTTCGGTGTGTGGGACCCCGCCATAGGTGATAATTTCTACCTGAAGTATCCCGAACGCCGATCGATATTTGGGCCTTGATACCTTGGCATAATCGTTACCCAGAATGTTCCAAGTATAAGTTTTATCCCGAATGCCGTTCGGGAGTTCTTTGGGCTTGCTGCTTCTTCCCGGATTTGGGCCTAGGGATATTGGGCCTGGACCCAATATCCCAACACGGAGTATTAAAGAATGTTTTGGAAAATAAAATTTCAGAAGCATTATATTAATAGTTTCCTAACATTGGATATTAATATACAGAATGATAAAATAATACGGAGTACATAGTACGGACTACGGACTAATATTCTAAACAGCCTTATGCACTTTAACTTTTTTTTTTGAAAGATTTAAATTAATTTATTATTTTTAAAAAATTAAAAATAAATATGACGACTCCGCTGGGGATCGAACCCAGAATCTCTGGTTTCGTAGACCAGCGCCTTATCCATTGGGCCACGGAGTCGGTTGTTTTACATCTTATGAATTACTTTATATAAATAACAATTACATCGTAAGAAAGAAAACCTCGGATAGATAAAATGAATAATGATATTTCGGTATTGGAAGAAACTAGTACGTGAAAAGGATACGGAGTATTATCTAAAGAATGATGATGATGATTTTTTAGGACATGATAATGCATGATTCTGAATTCTGATGATAAATCATACTAGTATATATTACTCCGTACTACGTAACAATAATGAAATAAACCTTAAATTATGGGGAAAAAAATACAACCCCTCTATATATGTTTCGTTATATGCTCCGTATGTGTTTATTGTGAACTACTCCGTACGTTATTATATACTCTACTTTTTAAATTTGGAAAGTTGCATCCTAATTTTAACCTTGTTATCTTAGAGTCACTTGCATTTGTCTTATACTTCTGGTCATCCACTCATCCCTCGTTTACTGTACACTAATCACTAATCATTACTCATGCCATTACTCATAATAGGACTAAAAGTGTTTAGTCCTATTAGTGCATTGATATATTTACTATTAGTCTTATATAGGACAATTACTAATTTTAAAACATTTCCACAAAAGCCATCATTCAGCATTCAACTGAAGACTTTTGCAAATTATTTAATTGTGTAACTATTTGATTAATTTAGGAAAAACTGTCAAATAGGTCCTCGAATTTTCATAAAAAAGTCAAATAAATCCTTATATAGGAGGCTCTGTCCGGCCATCGCGATTTAGGACGGTTCCCGGTGGAATTTTTTGATGAAAATTTTTGAGCATCTTATTCATCAAGTCTAGTTTACGCATACCGAATTTCAGCTAAAACTTCAATCGGGAACGCATGCAAATTAATTCTTGAAGATGACTGCTCATTTAACTGCACAGTTATCTTCAAGAATTAATTTGAATGCGTTCCCGATTGAAGTTTTAGCTGAAATTTGGTATGAGTAAACTAGACTTGATGAATAAGATGCTCAAAAAGTTTCATCAAAAAGCCCCAAATCGCGATGGCCGGACAGAGTCTCCTATATAAGGACTTCTTTGACTTTTTTATGAAAGTTTGACGACCTATTTGACAGTTTTTCATTAATTTATGTGTGCCCTTGACATACAGTTCATACCGAAAAATATATCTTGCTTGAAAATTATCAATATGAGCAAATTAAATGCAACTATTTCTATTTATTAGGGTTGACTTACAAAAAAGAACCTTCAAATCTTATTATTGAGCAATACTCCCTCCGTCCCTCAATATTTTATCATGTTTGACCGGCACGAGAAATAATAAAGTAAAAACAATGTGGTTGAGATATGTGCAGAAGAGAGAGAAATAACAAGAACCACAAATATATTGATTATAATGGAAAATAATACTCCGTAAAGTTTTGGGGACATCCAAAAAAGGAAAGATGACAAAGTTATCAGAGACGGGGGGAGTATGACATTGAAGGTGGTCATTATGGTCAAATAGTAACTCTTTGGCCGCAATTGTATATGTAATATTTCTTCCTTCCGTACACAAATGAAAATATTTTTATGTTATTGTTCCACGTGTCAGTCAAATTTGATCGAAGTTGAGCAGCACGAAAAGTGTATTAGGAATTACTAATATACTCCCTCCATCCCCCAATTAAGTTCCCCCTTTCCTTTTTGGTAGTCATTGAGTTGAGTTCCCCTTTCCTTATTTGACAAATTAGCTACATCAAAACAGTGTCAAACAGTGCCAAACGGTGCTCAAACAGTGTAAAAACAGTACAGTTTACCCCCCAGTAATTTTTTTTCCTTAATAAGTGTGAAAAACAATGGGGAACTTAATTGGGGGACAGGGGGAGTATCTTTATGGGAGTTATACACTATTGTGTAAACCCTCGAGTCATGACTCTCCTGTACTATATTTGTAAATATCTATTCATTGCGTGTGTATGTCAAAATTAGTTAGAGTTGCTTAAATGGAAACATCTGAACTACAAGTCAAAAGACAATTATCATCAAAGAAGTTCAAGGTTTAATGTTAATATTTGAAGTGACCAAGATCAACTATCATCACAGTGACATCGTCCCAACTACCCCTAGTCACTGCAAGGTTTGCAAGTCTTTGACAAGCAGCCACAAGAGAATAACTGTTTTCTTCATTTTCTTTCAAGCTATCATCACTTCTCCTGGAACAAGGAGACCTGCTACTTACCCTTATACTTGAATGCGCCACTGAAGTCCGCTGAGCCTTCACTGGACTCCCATTCTCTCGGATAAAATCGCTGTCTGCTGTTTCTTTCCAGATACTCGATTTACCCAATGAAATTCTTAGAGACTTTACTGCTGCTGGACTTTCATTTTCATTTCCAAATTCACGTTCCCTTCCTTTGTTTGATTTCACCATCGAAATTCTCTTCAACTTTGGTGAGGGGCTTGTACTTTTACAATTGAACTCAAATTCATTTTCTTTTGAGTTGTCATTTTTTGGTTGCGAAGGCGTAGTTTCCTTCTGGCATGATTGCATCACCACATCTATGGCTTCCTGGTTCCCCACCTAAAAAACAAAGCATTAGTATAAAATGAAAGAAAAAATGATACTTATTTTATACTCCCTCTGTCCCTAAATTTACTTCCATTTCGCTTTTCGAGAGTCAACTTAAATCACTCTTAAACTCTTACTTTTTGTATCAAAACTTTATGAAAATTGATTTTTTTTGTGCAGGCTTTGTAGCGGGTTTAATGTAGTTTCTGAATATGTAAATTTTATTTACTAAAAATAATCCGAGTTTTCACAGGGATCATTTAACTTTATCGTCGGTCAACCTTCGTAATCCGCAATCGGAAGAACATTCAGGGACGGAGGGAGTACATTTTAGTTTAGATGCCATTAAGGTTTAAATAATCAAGCCTGGCTTGTAAAACAGTAAAAGAGTGCATTTATCTATTTCTGCTAACCTTGTCCCAAAGTCCATCTGAGGCTAAAACAAGATATTGCATGTCTGAAGTAATTGTCATTCTCTTTGTTTCGGGCTCAGCCACTACCCAGTCCTTTAAGTGAGAGTCTCCAATGCTTCTTGAAACAGAAAGAACACCGTGAACTCTCCATGCTCCTCTATGAATCTCAACATAGCCTCCCTGTACCATATATATAATTAAGCTACTATAGTGAGTATGGATTACCCTCCTTTGCCATTAAGGAGCTCAGAAAATACTAGGGAAAAGAAAAATATTTTAGAAATTGTAAGTTGAAGAAAAGAAAATATTAGGGGAAAAAGATTTGTCCAACTCATGAATCTATTTTTGGTATTTCTTCAAACTCTTTTAGTTATGTATCTCTACTACATTGCGACTAAGGATCCTTTCCGAACTCAGAAACATGTGGTATATGGAAGAGAATAAAAATATTGGACAAAGTAAACCAGTGGTTCAACACAATACATTTACTCTTGATATAACTTCTTAGTACTCGTATAAGGACTAAGCATATGTAAAAAGTTTTTTAAAAAATAGTCATATCTCACCCCTTTTTTCCATTGTACGTACTACGTAGTACGGAGTATTTTCTAAGGTAAAACCAAACAATAGAAAACAATTACCCTTAGCTCTAATTTCCTTTTTTATCCCTTGCATTTTCCCTGGATCCAAGAATACCATCAAAGAAATCTAAACATATTTTTGTAAACATTAATTATATACTCCGGAACGGTATTAACATTTCATTTTCCTTTCTCTTTTGTATGTGGCAAAACGAAATCCAAGAAAATGACCCCCCCCCCTAGCATTATGACATTATCCCCCTTTCCATAACTTTCTGAAATCCAAACATAGCCTAACAGAAGCTTCAATCAGAAAGAGGAATACAGTGAAAGAGAAGTACGTTATCCTCTATCCGTTTCTTCTCATCCTCCTGTCCAGCTCTATGATCTTTCGTGAGCACTTCGGCTGATCCACCCCTACATAGAACTGCTCTACAGTCCCCTAAGTTGGAAACTATAATCTCATCTCCTTCAATCAGTGCAGTCACACAGCAGACACCACTACATATTCCCTGTAAGACCTCATGTTAAAATGATAACAAGCTAGAAGTTGTTCACATATGGTGAAAGATAAAGAAAACAGGAAAATGCCCACCACAGTAGATGGTACTCCCTCCCCCACCCTATCTTTGTCCCATTTACTTTTTTCGTCCGACCCATTAAGTTTGTCACATACCATATTTGTCAGTATTTGAGTTGTTGGAGTTTATTCTTACTTTATTCACACTTTATCAATTCAATATCAACCACATAGTTCTACTTTTCTTAATAAATGTACTACTCTCTCTTGTCCCAAACATAGAGGGACGGATGTATTATGTTTTACGAGGATAAATAAACATCATAGAATTTCATATCAACATCGGAGTTGTCTATTGAAGTTGTCTTATATATTGTGTGCAGTTAGTTATAAAATACGTAGTAATAAATAAGCAAGAGCATGGCTCATTTTTGTAAGCACAATGGCCTCATGATAACTCTGAAGTGGCAAAAATGTGAAACTCATGCCATGTTTGGAACAAGGAAAATGGCAGGAAAAGGGGGGAAAGTGCATTTAGGAAAACAGTATTTTTATGATTCGTTTTAACTAGGAAAACTGAGGCCTTGTCCGTGTCCCTTACCTACTTTCTTTCCTTTCTCTGGTTTCAGACAGACTCTAAAACTTCCGGATTAGAAAATTACAGAGCAGAAATGAAGCAAGAAGCCATAAAGTACTAAAATTTGATGTAATAACACTGTATCACAAGGGGATAAGGGTCAGGTCCTCAAAGTTGCAAAAAAGGAGTCAAATAAGTCCTTATATAGAAGATTCTGTCTGGAAGTGCCATTTGAGATGGCTCCCGGTGGAATTTTTTGATGAAATTTTTTGACCATCTTATTCATTAAGTCTAGTTTACTCATATCAAATTCTAGATAAAAATTCAATTGGGAAGACATTCAAATGAATTCTTGAAGATAATTGTGCCGTTAAAAGCGCAATTATCTTCAAGAATTCATTTGAATGTCTTCCCGATTAAATTTTTTGCTGAAATTTGGTATGAGTAAACTAGACTTAATGAATAAAATGCTCAAAAAAATTTATCAAAAAATTCCACTGGGAGCCACCTCAAATGGCACGCCCGGACAGACCCTTCCATATAAGGACTTATTTGACACCTTTTTTGCAACTTCAAGGACCAAATTGATCCTTTACTTGTATCACAAGTATCAATTGCAGATTAATACCATTTCCAAGAACTGGCTGTCAGTTTTCAAATACCCAGCTCTAATGGCTTCTTCTTTGGCAGAACTACTACCACGACAAGTCTTCAAATTTTCCATAATATTGGAATGCAAATTCTCTGTAACAAATTCAGCAGCTTTGCTCCCACCATGCCCATCATACACCCCAAAAAATCCCTAAAGGTAACAAATTCAACAGTTAATCAGCACCCTAATACAACTATTGAAAACTTAATCTAATAAGAAACAAACATTCCCAATTTTGCGCAAAAAGAACATCAAATTCATAGAAAATTGAACACAGAACAATTTCAAGAAAATTGACCTTTTTGGCGCGTGGGAAAGAAACAATCTTGTGAGAATCCTCCATTAACTTCTTGCGGCCTTTGAGGGAGAAAACGCCAACCCCCTTAGCACTGGACCGCACGGCGTCGTTTTGGGTGATGGGAGCAGTGGCTTTGGAAGTCAGGTCAGCTTCTGCTGCACTAATTTCTCGGAGGACATTAGGGATCTCAATCTGTGGAGGTCTTTTCCTCTTCAGATAACAAGAATCCATTTGGAGAAGAAAGTTGCTAAATTTCTGTTTGGTTTACTTCTCTCGCTTCTGTCTGAATATGTTGGGAGCGCTTGCGAAATCCACAGTTGATGGAGGGATTTAACGGCTATAATCTTGGTTTGGTTCGTTGGCTGTGGAGCCGTTAGAGATTGGTTGGCTGGGCCTGGGATTGTCAATGTTTGAGACCCATAATCTATATTTTTAGAAGTCCATGTTATTTAAATACAAACTAGACGAAGTACCCGTGCGATGCACGGGGTATATCTAGAGTTGAGTAATAACTTGTTTGAAATTACATACTATTACGGAGTGTAATGGTACGTAATGAGCACTTTTTAAAATAAAAAAGGGAAAGGACAAATAGTTTCTTTTACAATTTACAATTCATCACTTAAGACCTCTATATTAAAAAGTACTATGTATCATTTAACCTATTTTTGACCTGTAATAGAATGTTTTTTATATTAAAAAACTTTAACAATGTGTTAAAATTCGAAGAATTATATACAAAAGTTGTTGGCAATTTAAGAATGGCAAAGTCTATATTCTTGTATTTTTGGAACTATTTGTATATTCTGCATCTTTTTTCAAGTTACTACTTCCTCCATCCCAATTCGATGGTCTTGTTGCCGGTTTACGATGCCAGACCGACGATAATGCAAACAGATCCTCTGTCCGCACTCAATTTATTTTTAAGAAAAAGTATTACATATTCAGAAACTATCAGAAAGTACATTAAAAGCTTTACAAAGTTGCAAAAACCAAAAACAAATTTGATAAAAAAAAATTGATATATAAAGTAAGAGATTAAGAGTGATTTGTGTTTACCAAGTAAATATGAACTGAGACCATCAAATTGGGATGGAGGTATTACAACTTAATTTTATGTTTTTTACACTTTCACTTTATTGTTGATTTTTTCTGTTTTTATTTTTTAAGATAACTTGTTAAAAATATTTATATCCATTTTTGACCTAATACTATTTGTATACTATTAACATGGTATTACAGGTTAAAATGACTTGATTGGCGTTTTTTTTTATAGTAAACATACTTACATGATACTTTTTTAATAGATGAACTTAAGTGGTGCATTGGAAATAGTGGAAGGATTTATTTCACTTTTTTCTTTTCTATTTAAAAAATTGCTCATTATATATCTACTACTCTGTATTAAGTTTCATGCAATGTTTTGACATTTTCTTGTATGTTTTTATTATTCTCATATATAGAACAATTGGTTGAAACATTTTTCTACTTTTCATACATTATACTCCCTCCACATATCAAAATAGTTGTCCCACTTTCTTTTTTGGGTTGTATCAAATGAATTATTTCATTTCATTTAAAAAAACAAAATCTACCCTAAAAGAAGCTACAGACAACAATACACTTAATAAAGTATACATTATTATTACAGTACCAAAAACCTCTTATTTTTTATAAAGTCTACAATAATATAATTGCCTTAAACTACGTGAAAGATTAAATGTGATAATTATTTTAATGGGATATCTTCGTTCAGACGAATTGATTATAAAAATCATGTGTATTAGAAAGTATACATTTGAATTTGTGAATTACATACATATTTGGTAGTGGCTACTTTCATAGAAAGTACAAATTCACTAACGATTGAAACTATATTTTCAAATTAAAATGACTATATGAACTGAGGCAAGTAAAAAATGTCCTAAATATTTTGTAATGTCCATTGCAGAAATAAGTAATTCTAATTATTACTAAACTTGTCCCATTTTTTAAGGTTGTCCAAAAAATATTAATATTTCCCCAAAGCAAACTTCAGTAACTTTTTACTTATCCACTTAATAACTTTATATATTTATCATTTATGCTTGACATTTTGTGGACCAATTCTGCTTTTACTTACTTGTTGGATTGAAGGTTATAATTGTAGAATAACCACTTTAATCCTTAACTTTCTTCAAACTCGCCCCAAACTCGCACAAACCATTTTACTTCCTTTATTATTACTTGAAATAAAAACAATTGATTTATTCCATATGTATAAATAATATAAGGATGATAGATGAAAATACAACCTCTGTATACAAAGATACTATGTTAGTAACTACATGTGAACATGTTCATATTCAATTTTGTATTGTCGCGATCATTGAATTATACTAATAATAACTTTAGTAGCTTTTATCCATAAATACAAATTGTGTAAATACTCGTGCCCTGCACGGGATAAAATAATTTTTTTTTACTATGATGTGTGTGTGCGTATGCATTGATATATGTATGCGTGATTATAGCTAACAGGATATCACTTATTCATTTGATTATAACATTCATTGATACTTAGTAATTCATATTATCAATTATTTTTTAACTAATTTAATTATCTATAAATTTTCTTGACCGGTCTATATTTTCCAATTAAAAGGGTCAACTTTTTTTATTACTCTCTGTTACATCCAAATGAAAGTATTCTTTTCAATCATCTTTACCTAATAAAAAAGAAGTTGCCCAGTGCATATTTTTATCAATTAGATTTAATTTGTGGCTTGCCGCTTTTTCAAAAGTAATTACATATTTTGTAATTTACGGAGTACTTATTTAATATAGAGTCAAATCGTTTGTATATTCCAAATTATAAAACATGACTATCATATTTTTATTCCCGAAACATGACTAATCATTGTCATATTTTGGTAGTACCAGACTTTAAGCATGACAATACTTTTCAAACTTGACAGTAATTACTCTTATTTTGAGAATAAAAACATGACAATCATATTTTTGAATTTTCAAACTTTTTTACTCCTATTCCGGGAATTTTCCCATTTCCTATTCATCGGATTGAGTTATTGAGACTATTATGATGGTATTAAGTAAAATAAGGGGTTATGGACCAAAATAGATCGCATGCTTTAGACTTTTAGTAGACAATTTTCACCTAAAAAGTTAAATGAATTAAATCTATGAAAAGATTCTCACATCAAGTGGTAGCTAATACTTAAAAACTTAAACATGTCAAAGTATTCAATAAAAAATAAAAATACAAATGTTCCATATTCTAATATGAAAAATGATACTCTGTATCCATTTTAATGATCATATAGTACTATATTAAAGTTACTTTCATGACTAAAAGAGTTATCATTTATACATAGTCTAACTTATTTATCTAACTCTTAAACACCACTTTTAATGTGAGAATATAATTGATATATACTACCTCCGTCCCAAAAAGGTTTTACATATTGACTTTTCTTAGTTAATGCATGATAACAAATTTTGGACAATGATTTTAATTATTATATTGGTATATAATTATAAATTTATACTTTTATGATTTTTTAAAAAACATTTTTGATATAATTCTTATGTTCAAAATAATTTTGTATTATAAAATATCATTGGTCAAAATTGACTATCATTGACAAATAAAAGTCAATTTGTCAAACCATTTTGAACAAATGGAGTATGTCATTAATAAAACCAAAGGCAGCTATGGGGTGAGTTACCCTAGGCAAGGTGTCATTATCTAAACAACGTTCTAAACAATGACATCCTATTTTTAATCTACACCTCCCATATTCACAAACAAAAAATGATTACAATTTTCATGATCAAATAATACTATAATAAAGCTACATCCATGAGTAAAAGAATTACCTTTTATACACAGTATAGCATATTTATCTAGCTCTTAAACAAAATTTGGTAGTATAAAACTACTATCACCATCCCACAAAATTTGGTCAAATTGACTTTGTTTGGTCAATGGTAGTAAACTTGGACAACTTCAATGATTCTAGTTGTTATAGTATGTGAAATATATATAGTTTATACTTTATGAAAGTAATTTTAACATTGAAACATTTGTTCTGAAAGTAAATTTTGTTTGGATTGATAGAGTATATATAATAATAGTGACACATTTATAATCATCCGTCAGACCAACAGTTATTTCTCAAGAGATTTGTTGAATTCTATTCTAATATGAAGTTCTATAGTTTAGGAAAAATTCCTTTAAGAAAGTGTTTGAGATTGCTTCTACTTTAAAAAAGTGATTTTTTAAACTGATTTTGAAAAAATGTTTAATAGTAAAAATTGGTAATGTTTGAGAAAAAATGCTTATGAAAAAGTAAAAGTTGGTAGTGTTTGATAAAATAAGTTCTTTTTGTATAATAGAAAAAGTGAAAAGCAGCTTAAAGCACCCATCAACCTACTTGCAACTTTTAAAAAATGTTAATTTAAGCAGAAGTTGTCACTTGAAAACAATAAATTTGCTTTTTAAAACCAAAAGCTAAAAACACTTTTTTTTTCAAACACTCCCTAATTGGACTAAAATTTTCCGGTGTGATTTGATCTTATGTGATTGTGGTTGGTCTGATCTATACAGGTGTGGTTTAGTTAAGCCCGATCTTGAGACATACTCCGTATATAGTTTTGTGAAAAGTGAAAACAAAAAAAAAACCTATTATGTAGAAAATTAGTCATTCGATCTCTTTCATTTAAAAAAGTGTTTAAAATACGTAGTTTTGTGGCATTTTGATTTTAATGAAGGTGATGGCAGCAACAAACATGATGCACATCAAGTGATAATGGAGAAGAGTCTCACATCAAGTGGTAGCTAATAATCATCATATGAGAAATCTCATAGTTTTACCAAATATTTCTTTTAAAATATCTGAAAGCTGACAAATTCTTTGTCTAAATGGAGAAGAATTTTTTATTAATAATTTAGTTTAATAGTAGATATTATAGTAGGCCATTATGCATCATTATTCCTCTTTCAATGGGGTTCTTTTAACTAATTTTCCTTATATTTCTTAAAGTTTAATACTTTGGTAAGTTTTATTAATAAAATATATAGCTATCATATTCTGACACTAAGTATGTTTTCTTTTGGACTGAAATTTGTTGGTCTGGTCTGGTCTGAACTGGTCTAGTAAATGTCTGGTCTCTGTGTATTTTATAATTATGGAAATCTTGCCTGGTCTGATCTGATCTGATCTGATCTAGTCTGGTCTAGTCAGGGATTGAAAACAGTAAATAAAACATCCTAAAAGTGGTGTTTAAGAGATAGATAGATAAATAAGTTAGACTGTGTATAAATAGTAATTCTCTTACTCATGGATGTAACTTTAATATGGTAATATTTTATCATGAAAAATTGAGATCATATTTCGTTTCT